TAAGTGGAATTAAACATTTATGGAGAATCGTATTTAAACTTTTAAAATAACACAGCCAAAGAAGCTTGACAATAGGTACAATTTACTCTGAATTATGTATTCAGACAGCACTCTACTTCCAATTCTTTTCTAAGCAAAAAGCCATTTGCTTATGGTACGTGATGTAACATTCGCAGCCAGGTATGACACGAAGAACTCCCAAGAGCAGTTCCCTGCTCCTTCTGCTCAGACATTCCCATTGCAGTCCCTCTGTTTTGCACAGAATATGCTGTTTGGGGCTTTTCAGGCAGTCCTAGCAAAGCCTTACCCCTCGCACTCCATAGGAAGACATCCACTGATTTTATCCGGCTCCTCCTGAACAGCCCTTTTCCTGACCCGCAGCCATCCCACCTTTTCCCCATGGCCCACCCCAGCATTTCCCACTGGCAAACTGGCAGCGCATCCCCCCTCGTGTTCCCACATTGCTAAGTGAGCACAACATCCTGATTTCTATTCTCTCCACTCCTTTCCATACCATTCACTTCCACCGTCTCTGGAGACATCTTCCAAGATGTCACATCACAAACTGTTCTCTCCTCTCAGCAGAACGACACTTCGCCACTTCCTCCTGCAGCCTCGTTGCTCTCTCCAATTAAAATTTCCAAGAGTCTGAGAATCTCTCCTGACCTTTGCTCGGTGTACCCCCCGGAGAGGGCTGACATTATAATCTGACTGCAGATGAGACAGGGATGAATACGACACTTACTGTTTTACAAAGATTCATTATTGCCTCGCTGGGAATATCAAGGTTATAGGTCCACCTAAAGCTCAGACGAGAGAGGAGTACAACACGCCAGAAGACCACTAGTGTGTAATATATGAAATGCTGCGTTACTACTTTTTATTATTTCACTTTGGCTGCTCTGTGCAGCCCTCACTCTCATCCTTTGTAGCATTTCTCAGCAGGATCTTTTTCATCTTTCCACCCAACATCCTTCAACACTAGTTCTTGTGCTGATGTACTCCACAGTTAGATGCTAGAGGGGGCAAAAGCTGGTACTGTTAGGAAGGAACGGGTATGATGAGACGATGCAGCTTTCCTTTTTCACCTCTTCAGTCAGAAATGTGTAAAAGCATAAAAGGGACTAATTTTAACTTCCTGAAATAATAGCAAACTACCTTGTTTGAGTGAAAGACGACTGCAAACACATTACTCACTGCAATGATTCACTTTGGATTATACTCACTTAGAAACGCAGAATGGAAGAGATGCACGGCATTAAAAAAAAGTACCTGCAGTTTATCAGTAGTATCCACGAGACAGCTCTCAAACTGCAGCAGGAAATACACTTTATCACAGCAAAGTTAGATTTTATGTCAGATATTTTATTAAATCAAAGCCACAACATAATCCTACTGAATATTAGCATTCAGCTGATACTGGAAGAACAAAACTAGAACATGTACAAACTGCAACTAGTCAAGTCACGCTTGCCTCTACTCAGAGGAAATCCAGACTGTAAAAGCACTGGGGGTAAAACATTAATTAGCAATGCCAGAGTTATCATCCTAGGAATTTAGGACAACAGATCCTGCAGATTAACATAGCAACACCCCTCTGAATGCACTCTGTTAATAATCTAGAAAAGAGTAGAACAGTTCAGTCTACAGGTGCATGAAGACCGGGAAAATGCCAGGAAGCGAGTTCCTCTCCAAATGCCTCAATGCAGAAACCAGAAATTCCCAGTACATTGGACAAAATTAAGTGAAAATTACCAGGTAGTGAGAACAGGCCTGGAAGCCTCAGCACACAGCAAAACCAGCTGAATATCTTGTAATTTTAATGTATTTTTCTCCTCCTATTAAAAGGCATCTCCTTTTAATACATGGAGAAATACAGCCACCATAGGTGCAGCGACTTGTCCAAGATCACGCACAGGAACCAAACCAGTGCTATGACCCTTTATTACCTGCCTCTGAGATGCTTCTCTCCTCTCCACTTTCCATAGGGAGCGCCTCCCAGCCATATTTTTCAAATTCCAGTTCAGGAACGTGGAATACAGCTCAGGCAGGAACAAAACCTTCCTGTGTTATGTTCTCGAGACCCAAGGCAGAGAGTCAGTGACTTCCCGGGGTTACCTGGAAGACGAGCACGCGGCAGCCCATGCAGAAATGGCTTTCTTCAACACCATCCTACCAAAGTGTGAATCAAACCTCCGCTACAACATCACCTGGTACGTCTCCTCCAGTCCCTGCGTGACCTGTGCCGACCGCATAACCGAGACCCTAAAGAAGAACAAGAACCTGCGGCTGACAATCATGGTAGGGCGCCTTTTCATGTGGGAAGAGCCAGAAATGCAGGCAGCCCTGAAGAAAATGAAGTCAGCTGGCTGCAAGCTGAGGATTATGAAGCCTCAAGACTTTGAGTATGTCTGGCAGAACTTTGTGGAACCGGAGGAAGGAGAAGAAGCAAAGGCTTTCGTGCCATGGGAGGACATTCAAGAGAACTTCCAGTATTATGAGGAAAAGTTGGCTGAGATTTTTCAGTGAAGCTCACGTGAGTGAGGATTTCCACTTGGTCACCTATCTCCTTGTATTAGCATTCCAAATTCCTCTTTTTTCTTCAGGTGGTTAAATGTGTAGCCCAGAGCCAATTTCATTTACTGTTACTCTCATATGTATCTGGCTGGGTTTGCCTGCACCTGAATATTGAAAATAATCCTAGGTGATACCTCACTGGGTACAAGATGAAAACCTCATTGTTCTCCATGTGCTTAACCCACGACAGTGTGATACTCCTGACACGTGGAAACAGTGAAAAGAATTGAGAGCAAAGGGGATTTCCCCCAGTCCCCAAAGTCTAGCTCTCTAGGAAAACACAACTACCACTAAAACAAATCAGTTATCACTGCAGAATCCCCCCCCCTTTTTTAACGGATACTAAAGAGTCACCTGTTGAAGCCATAAAACATGAAAGCATTTGAAGCTTTTAGCATGTCTCTCCTTTTCCTTCCCCAGAACCAATTCAGAGAAGATCCATGAAGAGAGATGTGACAGACCTGGACACCTGGGATACTCCCACTTCCCAAAGCTTTGATCCCAGCAGGATGGAGTACCAACTTCTGGAAGACTAGGTCCTGATGGACTACAAATACAAAACAGATCTTTGGTGTTTGGGATTTTTTTGGTTTCTTTTGTTCCTCCCCGCCTCCTGCCCCAAACAAACCCATGCTGCCTCTGCTGATAGGAAAAAAGAAGGCGACATACTGTGTGATTAAAGCCTTGAACGAAACGAATCGCTGAGGACCTACAGGAAAGACTGTAGGCCTTGCATATGGGGACTACTTTATGCGAAAAGATCTCAGAACAAAGCTGCCAATTAGAGAAATACATTTAGAAAGTACATTCTTCATAAATGTTAAAAAGAAAAGAGATGCAAGATGAAAAAAAGGTTTTATTCCTCTGCTCTCCTCAATAATCAGATCTGTGATTTAAATTAGGGCTAACTGGTCTGTTCTAAATCACGATGGAGCCCTAAGTACTTGATTTCAAATACATCAAATACCTTCTCCCCTTTTTTCAATGATGTTTGCAAAATAAAATTGGGAAAAGTAAAGTGAAATAAAATTGGAAGTCACTGCAAAAACCTACAGCACTGTTTATTCCTTCTTCTGTATTTGCAAGAGATCCTAAATTTAAGCTGACAAGCGAGACACATCCCAAGACAGCCACATATGAAATATTTCATAGCTGAGGTGCAGCATGATCAGAAGGGAGAATCACTATATGCCAAAAAAATTTCAAGAGCACATGTAAGTGTGAGACAGAAGGGGAGAGAGAGAATACAGGCGTATCCCTTTCCATATAAAACAAGGCACAGACCACACAAGGGTCAGAGGGACGCACACCAGCTAAGAAACCGAGTCAGACAGAGTTCATTCTTCCCGTTAGTCCTACATCCTGGTTTCTCCTGCACTGGCACAAGCTGGAATGGTGCTAAACACACACACGCAAAACCGCTGACCGCACCCGTCTCTTACCTCAGTCAACTGCACTAAATTCTGACATAATTCAACATATCTGGCATTTTTCTGGGCATTCGGTATGAGAGAAGTCACAAAGATTTGTTATTATTGGAGGGTGGAGAAAACCAACCATAAAAGCAGAGTGTATGATAGCTCCCCAGTACTGGAAGCAAACTTTCAACAATCAAGTGTTCACCAATGATCTGAGGAACTCAGTGTGTTATTTATTTGCTTTTGCTATCGGTGGCATCAAACACCAGCCCATATGTAACAGCTAAACTACAAATGCAGTAAAAAATGAATAGGAAAAACAAACCTTCAACTGCATACTATGACTTTTTACAGCACATCAGTCATTCCTATGTGTGCACTCTCACAAAACCGAGTTCTCCAGACTATACCAATTATACGGTGTAAAATGCACCCAGGTGTCTTTACATAACGCCAGCATTCCCCCTCCAAGCCCAGCTTTCCTCCAGAACACAGCCACAACACACACACAGGTATGTTTTTCAAAAGGACCATGTTCTGATCTGACAGCAAAGCACTGAAGAGCTATTTATTTAATATTGGCAGCACGATTCTTAGCGAGTACAATCTCAAAACAATTGTATCTGTGGCCAGAAGGTAGAAATTAAATTTTTAATCCTGTAACAAACAGAGTAAGTAAACTGTATGCCAGATATAAACACTGCAAAACTTTAAAAAAAAGCGACAGGGCTCACAGCTCATCATGATCAACCGTAACTACAAACCAACAAATACCTAAGCAACAGACAGCTCCAGTTTCACTCTGCACTGGAACTGTCAGCTTTTAAGTAGAAGCTCTAGTGCAGGCAAGTGCTCCGTGGAGGACCAGTGACATCTGGTGGCTTGCTGGGACAGACCAGGAACTCCCCGAGGGTTACCACAACATCCCTGCCTTCTTCACAGGCTCCCTGAGCACTACACCCCAAATTAGCTGCTCTGGAGCTTCTTTTGGTTGTGTTGTTACAAGCCACTGCCACTGACAACACAAGAGTGAGCTACGCTCAGACGAAGAATGTGCTCGGCATGCAGTTTCCTCCCTCATCAGTGAACAGGTTTCCACTCCAGAAAGCAAGGGAAATGGGGCTCTCTTTAAACTCGTTTGCTCACAGAGTGTAAACTGTGATATTTATATCTGTGTCTTCAAACACTTCCCCAAGTATTGCCGAAACTTTGTTCCAATCCAGGCCATCGAGTCCACATCCAATCCTGGAAAACAGGAAACGAGACATCAAAACAGCTGGAATGGCCTCTTCTGAAGCACCGTACGAACAACTAGCCCTTCAAGCAGCTACAGTTTTAAATGGGCACTAATTCAGCTCACCATAAATCAACATAATGTGGTTAAAATAAGGAAACGTGATCATTTAAACACACTGGGAAATGCAGATTTCATTTGGACAATTAAACAGAAGAGTTAAATAGAAGTGGATACTTGAACTCTTGTTTCACAGCAGGGGATCATCTCTCAAACATCCTTCCTCTCGGGCATTTACACCACAGTAACTAGTTTTCTTACCTAGGCATGGAAATGTCAGTAACTCCATTGTTTAGACAGTGAGCTTTCATGGCTTCTAAACTCTTTCGCATAGTCTCATATGTTGGTTTGTGAGAAACTTTCTTCTTTGTTATCTAAGTATAAAAGTAAAAGGTCAGTTGTGCCTTTGGCATGATCACTGCAAACTACTTTTTTTTAAAAAAACACATTCCACTGCATTCTGCAACTCCACACCCAGACTTGCTTATGTGAAAAGAAAAAAGACATGGAAAAAGAACTATGTTTCACAGCTTAAACCAGCGTAATTTAGCAGGTAGTTCTGTCCATTTAAAGCTTAAACAGACACCCACAAGACAGCCTGGCTTCTCCACGACTAGCAATATCTGAGTTATACATCTCATGCTTCTTATTTAGAGGAATATACTCAAAAACCCCACAACTATTAAAGCCCTCATCACTGTATCTAACATGTCAGTTACAGGGAAGTGTCTGAGTAATGTCCCACTCTTACCAGGTAGTAAATGTATCGGTCGTCCCTTTGCAGAACTGCCACCTCCCCAGTCTTCTTTTCTGAAGTGAAAAAATTAAGGTATTTTTAGAACAGTTACATTCCACTCCATAACTCCCCCTGCACCCCAAGTAGTTTGGAATACCCTTACTGCTGGAAATCAAGGTTTTCCCTTCAGCTCCTGCATGTCCACCCTACGTGTATCACTCACGTTGATCCAAGAGCTCTTGTACGCCTCCAAACTTTTTCTTAAAAAGAACAGCTATGCCTGCACCCATGCGACAGTCCTCGCTGATGCAATGAGCCAGTGCATCCGTCGGAGGGCACGAGAACAGGTCCCCCTTAACACACTTGATCTGGAAAACACCACAAACAGAAGGGTAAATAGCAGTAAGCTAAGAGTGCAGGCTCAGGTAACAGAATACTCAGACAACAGGGAATGTGGCAAGCCTGGACAGTAAAGAGTGTAAAGCATTAAGATGTATTTCACACATATATGAGCTGGCATGAATTACGAACCCAATATACAAATAACTAGCTTTGTTACAAGATCAGTGATGAGTATCATGTGTCAGCTCCGCACTTATTAATGCCTAAAAATGAAAATTATGCAATAGAGAGTACGACTGGATTAGTGCACATCTTCAGCACACTATCCCATTAAGCAGGTAAGCTCTGTGCTGTTGTAAGATATCTGCATTACAGACATAAGCACAAAAGCACACAAAATTCAGCACTATCAGCCACTTTCCTCCAAAAAGCTACACGGCACAGCCAGCTGCCATGTTATTAGGCAGACAGGAAGGCCTCTTTATTGAGACACGCATCACAGCAGTAGCCCAGATAACCCATTTTCTACGCACTCTCTCCTCCTGATCCTTGGAGAAGTGGGTGGCCATGGTAACACGGGCTATGAAGACTCCTGTGGCTGGAAAGACGACAGAGAAAGAAAAAAAGAATTATTAGGAACCCCAAACTAGGCAATTAGCTAGCATGGGACTGACAGCACAACGAAAACACCCTCTGAAGTAGAAAAGGAGGAGGCCAGTACCCCTGAATAGTGTGGTAAGCTTTCCCACTGCAGCCCCACAGCTCCAGCCCCTGAGGTGCCAGGAGGGCCAGGCCCACAGTCACCACACAGCCAGCACCCACAGGCCTTTCACCTCCTCCAAATCACCCCTGCCCCTTCAGGAAACCCTT